TCAAATACACAAAACATGATTACATTCAAACACAAACACTGCTTGGTGGGGACTTCAAACACAGTACCCATTCAAACACAAACACTGCTTGGTGGGATTTAATCAAGCTCTGCAAGGATGGGCACATGGTATATCTCCAGCATTGTGGGATTTGTATGACAGATGGGGATCTACCTTTTGTCCATGCTTGTGTTACAGGGGGCCCCAATTATGTTCTTGCACCAGGTCCCTCTCTACATTGATTCTGCCACTGGTGCTGCCTGTCTTTTCCAGTCTCTCTCTCTTGTAATTTCAGTGCCAAAGATAAAGAAAGTATGTCTGCAGTGTGGATTGAAAGAATGATATCATCATAACCACCATGACCAGAAATTCTGGACAGTACTTTACCAGTAAAGGTATTGTGATGGACAGAAATTTATGTATGTAAAATGTCTATTTGTTATGTGTACCTGTATTCATTCATTACTCAAAATGGCTGCTAGAGCACCCCCTCCCATTGACCAAAACCCTCGTTTAACAAGATGGCGTCTCCATCCGGAGCTAAACCTAAGATGATGATGACATCACACCTTGGAGGAAGTACATCAAGATAAGACACTTACACTTAGCCAATTAAAAGTTTATGCTTAATATTTGCACACAATGCATTCTTTTGCCTTTTTAAGGGACTGTGTCCACCCCAATAAATACGAAGTTTTCATATATCTGAACATGTCCGTGTGACTTCTTCAGCGTGCACGCATCTCACTTTAAAAATCTGGACAGGGGCAGATATTCAGGCAGACGGTTGATCTGGTCCAAAACAGTAGCCTCTGATGGATCTGACAAACTAGGTTCTGCTGATCTCTCCCTCTTGCCGCTCAACTTCTAAATAGACTAGTGTTAATAGTTCAAATCCAGCTGTTGCTGCTAAAGGTACTCTCAGTCTGTGTTTGGAGAAACCCTGCCTGCTACTTGTGGGCTGCCTATCTGTCTCTGCTGCTGCAACTACAGATATTTCTGCTAGTATAGCCTTTGAGTCGTCTTTTAATTAGAAGGTGTATTGTGTTAAAGGACCACTATAGTGCCAGGAAAACATACTCGTTTTCCTGGCACTATAGTGCCCTGAGGGTGCCCCCACCCTCAGGGACCCCCTCCCGCCGGGCTCTGGGGAGAGGAAGGTGTTAAAATTTTACCTTTCTCCTGCGCCAGGCGGGGAGCTCTCCTCCTCCTCTCCTCCTCCATAGCGACAACATCGGCTGAACACGCATGCGCGGCAGGAGCCGCGCGCATTCATCCAGTTCATAGGAAAGCTTTATCAATGCTTTCCTATGGACGCTGGCGTCTTCTCACTGTGATTTTCACAGTGAGAAGCACGCAAGTGCCTCTAGCGGCTGTCAAGAGACAGCCACTGGAGGCTGGATTAACCATATTATAAACATAGCAGTTTCTCTGAAACTGCTATGTTTATTAAAAAAAGGGTTAATCCTAGATGGACCTGGCACCCAGACCACTTCATTAAGCTGAAGTGGTCTGGGTGCCTATAGTGGTCCTTTAATTAACACCACTTTGTGCAGCAAAAATAGATGTTTGTGCTTAAAAATTGGTTACTGCTTGGTGGATTTACTACTGTAATGTTATTCTGTTTGATTTTAAGAAACACTACACTGCACACTTGACAGTGCTCAGATCAGTGGTGTATCCTGGTTTTGTGCTGCCCTAGGCAGGACAAAACTCAGGCGCCCCCCAAGCCCCACCGCGCGCGCGCGACCCCCACCCATCCCTTCCCCCCGCCCCACCTTCTAAATACACACACACACTCACTGACAGATACGCATACACTAGCTAACAGAAACACAAACTCACTGACACACACAGACACACACTCACTAACTAGCAGACACACACTAGCAGACACACACACACACTCACTGACACACACACTCACTGGCAAACATACACACACAGTCAGAAACACAAACACACACACTCACTAGCAGACACACACACTCACAGGCAAAAACACTCACACTAACAGTCACACACACAAACAGACACACACACTCACTAACAGACGCACACACTAACAGACATACTCACTAACAGACACACACACTAACAGACACACTCACACACACACTAACAGACACACACACTAACAGACACACACACACTCACTCACGTTAACCCCCCCCTCCAGCCTCCTTACCTTTGGGAATGCTGGGGGGGGTTTTCTATTTCCCTGGGGGACCAGTGGCTGCCGGTCGGGTTGATGGGCTGGGCGCGCGGCTGACGAGGGAGCTCTTCCCCTGAGCTGTCTGCTCAGCTCCCTCGCACACTGCACAGTGAGGCTGGGAGCCGGGTTGATGACGTCATATTCCGGCTCCCAGCCTCACTCTGCGGCGCGCCCAGCCCAGCATGTCTGTTAGCGGCAAGGCTAACAAGGCATTTGTCCTGGGCATTTGGGGGGCGGCTTTTTTTGCTGCCCCCTGGAAAATGCCGCCCAAGGCAAATGCCTTGTTTGCCTCACGGCTAATACGCCCCTGGCTCAGATTTATGTAAAGCACACACTCAATTGTACACACTCAACCCCCAAAAAATATCGCTATAAACAGTTAAAGACAATAACTACGCTCAAGATCAGTGTCACTCTGTCTGAGAAGACACAGCAGTAACGTAACCATTATGATCAATAATCCAGGCTATCTGTCTCACACTGGCAGTTGATGTAAATAGCATTAGCTGTAGATAGGCAAGTGGATTTTTTTTTTTTTTTTTTTACTGAACATGTCACTCAACCCTCAATTAAAAATGTTCTCTCTAGAAACAGTTAACAAAAAAAAGGACTCATTCGGTAAAATAAACTTGGTGTAAGAGTCGGGGACTAAGTACATCCTACCAGTCTCACACTAGGTTTAATTAAACTGTTATTGAACAGGATTTTTCTATCTCCAAATCAAAGTTTGTGTAAATGGAACTGTGCCACTGGCAGTGACTAGGCAAATCAGTAAACTAACTAGTCTAAAGCAAGGATCAATGGCCCAAGCTATCTATTTCCCACTCACACTTGTTGTAAGTGAAACTTGCAGTAGCTAGGTTGGTGCAGCAGTAACCTAAACCTAAGCAGTCTAACAATTGGATCAATGACGTCCCACTACCATAGGGGCACATCAAGAGAAAATACAGGCAATCCCTGTCTGCTGGTATGTCTCTATCAGTAGGTATTGTCAAGTACTTAAAAAAATTCTGCTTCTTCCACTCCACCCCCCTCACCCCCCCACATGTGCCACTTTGCTTGATCTGTGAATGAAATTAACATTTAATGGCTGACCCTTGATCATCGTTTATCTTTTTCCTTCCACCTGTTAATTGGACAGGAGATGCAGAACACATCATTGGGCAGGCTTATTGTCCATCATGGCAACATAAACTGCTTCTTTGCTTTCCTTAAACCCCTTAAGGACACATGACATGTGTGACATGTCATGATTCCCTATTATTCCAGACGTTTGGTCCTTAAGGGGTTAAAAAAATGGCAAATCCAAAATAATTTAAACATATTCGGATATCAACCAGTTTATGATCTATTTGGCAAAAAAAAAAAAAATCAATTTGACTATCTTAGCATTCATGGTCCTTCATAAAATACCAAGTTTTATTTTAATCATTACATAACAAATACTACCTCAGGTCTCTACATTCTAATGATGCTGCTGGGAATGAGTTAGAGTTCCAGCAGCATCAATACATTGCTCTGTATGTGCTGTGTTTCAAACTTAAATGATGCACGTACAGATTCCAATCACCAGGACCACCTCAAATCACTGACGTGGTCATAGTGCTTAAAGTAGCTATTTAAGTATTGTGTACAATTGAACTATATATGATGACAGATTTCCAGATATTTTAGCATAGAAAGAAATGTCAATAGATTTATTCCTGGAAAAGAGCAGTGAAGTTCATAAATAGATTAATCAACCTCATTTCAAGCCCACACCACATACATGATGAGAACTGCTCATGTATACCAAATAGCTAACACACCAAGAAAAATAATGTCAAGACTGTTAATATTCAGAGTACTACAATTTCAAAATGTTAAGGTAAGGTAAGTGACAAAATAAATACATATTTAGGTTTTCAAAAGGATACGTATTTTAAGTACCTGACAAAATAAATACCTAGCATATTTTATTTAGAAAAAAATAGTTTATTCAGTAACATGCCTAAAATAAAGCATAAGAATGCATCTAATCAATGACCAAACTTGTATTTATTTTTTGTTTCCTCATTGATTGGAGAACTGAATGGCTGCTCTAGGAGCTAGCATCTGAAATGCCATTACTGTGCAAGGGAAACGACTTTATGTAGATTATTATTTAGTATTTAAAAACCCTGAAACAATAATCACCTTGTTGAAAATCCTGGTTTGTTTGACCTCCTTATTTTACTTCTCTATGTAGACTACTTCAAGCAATTCCAAGAGGTACAAGTTCAATGAGTTAGCTAAATGTTTTAGTAACTATATAAAAATACCATGCAGATGATTTTTAAGCTATTAGGCCTGTTTTAGCTGCAAACCCAGACTTGTCATGGTACTAGTGGACAACGGAACCTATCTGGGTTCTGGTTAAGCTTTTTGGTGCCTACTTGTTCCAGACCCACAAGGTATATCAACCACAGAGCATTAAGGCCTGAACAGTCATTTTGGTGGGAGAAGTGGACGATCTCATGTCTAGTGTTAGCACTGTTCATGACTTGAAGCAGAGGTTTTCCTTGTGTCCCAGGAAGATCCTTGGAGTGCCTGGATCCCTTTCTACCACTGGGAGGCCTCAGATGTCTCTTGTAGACTGTCTGGGGTCATTTAATTTAATTTGTTCCCAGTGTTGGGCGAAGCTTGAGCAGAAAACATGTCCTGATGCAAGTGGTGGTCTCCAGTCAGTGATATATTTTGGATTTGGCATGACGAAACTCAGACAACCCAATCTAAATTTACTCCTGTCAAGGTCGCACCTCTTCCTGTTTAAGACTAACACACAGTTTGACTGACAGACACCCACTGATGCACTAACTCACTGGCAAGCACACACTCTCAGATACACATCCAGTGACATACATTCACTGACAGACACACACTGACATACACACACACACACACTCACTAACAAACGCACACTCTCAGACATACACTGACAGACACATACATTTACTGACAGATACACACATAAACACAAACACACACTGACAAACACATACTAATTTACTAACAGATGCATACTCACAGACATACACTGACACATACTGACAGCCACACACACATTCGCTCACAGACACACTAACAAACACACACATTCACTAACAGGCACACACATTTACTGACAGACACAAACTGACAGACACACACATTTACTGACAGACATACACTGACAAGATACACATTCACTGACAGAAACACACATTTACTGACAAACACACACTGACACAAACACAAACACATTCACTCACAGGCACTCTAATACTGATACACTCACACACATTGTCTCACACTTACAAATTATATATATATTTTTACATTTTAATTTAAATCCACCCAGCCTCCCTGGGGTCCAGTGAGGCCGGCTGCTGCTGGGCTGGATGGGCATTCGGGCGGGCAGGCAGGCACGCACGCAGTGGAGGCAGCAAGGGAGCCGGAGTGATGCGGAGTTAGCAGGAAGAGCTCAGAGTACAGCAGAGTATTAGCTGCCGCGTGCCTCGGGGGAACCCTGAGGTGGCCAGTAGGCCAGCTCTTGGGTTCCCTATGAAAGACACTAACAGGACATCTGCCAGGATGCTTGGGGGCCAGCGTTTTTTGCTGTCTCTCTGAAAGTGCGCCCCAGGCGAATGCCTTGTTAGCCTCGTTAAAGATACAGCACTGTTTCCAGTATTCCCAGCCAGGTTCCAGACTGAAACAGTCACCAGTATAAAGACAGTCACTTCCAGTACAGGAATCCTTTCTACAGCAAGCTGGTTCAGAGACCCATTAAAAAAGCGACATCTTCCTCCTCACAAACTCAACATCTGAGAAGATTATTGTTAAGACACCCCTGGTGTCTTTAAGAGAAACCGCCGTTTAGTTCACCTTCCCCTTTCGCATTATCAGTAATCCATTCGCATCAATTGTAATACACGAACCATAACCAGGGGAAGTGGTAATCTCCCGACCGGGATCCGTGAAAGGCTCCAAACTCCCGAACGGACATCCACGAACTGCTGCTAGCCACCGAACAACGATATCCACCAAGCGGCTTTCGGTTCCAATCAGCAGTCTCTAAGCGCAAAGAAGAAATCCCCCCAATAACGAGACAGAAGCTCCGCATTGAGGGTCAAACAGGATCTGGCTTTACTGTGGGCTACCTGCCCGTATTTATGCAGGTCTCCCACTTGGTGGACACTCCCCTAGGGGACCAAATGGGAGACTGAAATGACAGATAGACAGGGGGACATTTCAGACATACAGTTACAGGTTTTCCCCACAATGCAATATGGTCTCCTCCCCTCTGCCCTGGAGATAATTAAGAAGTAATTCAATTATCTCCAGGACAAAGACAAATCGCCATCTTAGATACAAAACCAGAAACATATAAAAATACATAATTTGAAAATAACCGAACATATCTTATTCACATCACATATCCCCAGATAGCCTGGATCTGAGTGCATATTATTGGCGAATAGCGCTCAGATCCCACACACATAGTTCAATCGCCATGGAGTCAAAGTTCTTACCGTCTTTCGGTATGCGATTGGCTCCATGGGAGGGCTATCTGGGTTAAATCTTTTCATGTGCTGTAAAACTCCCGAACGGCCGGTATTCGTACGTTTTCGTGGAGGCAGCCAGGCGTCCCGTTTCAGCGCTGTTCGGCAGAAAAAGTGTCCATTTTTAGTTCCATGAAAATAGAGCCAAACACCGCTGGGCTTTCGTGTGTTCTAAAATGGCCGCTGACTCGTGGTCAACATACGAACGACAGCCACCCTGAATTCGGTTTAATTGAGAAGTGTCTGCAGTTAACCACAACGTTCTAATTGGGATCAATAGGTTAACCAGCAGCACACTTCTCTCCTGGGTGGCCATCCGTTCGGTAGCTTTGTTCGGTGAAAAACAGTCATTCGTATGGCTGGGCTATAGGAAACAGCCATTAACACGAAAGGGGCAGAAAAATACGAATCCACCACAATAGACAGACAGATGGTTCTGTCACAATTATGCTGGAAAATATATGCAGTGAGGTGCAGTATAGGGAACTTATGTTCCTTAAAGCCTGTTATGTGGTTCACTCCTGCAAAATCAGAGACTGTGTCTGAGTTAAACCTGTGTCTGTGATGGTGGTTTTCAGGTCCATATTCCCTATATTGGTGCCTCCGAATCGAGTGTCGGTTAAGGTGGCCTCTACTGCAGTAGTTTCAGGCCAAACACGCTCAAGTGTTTTTTGTGCCTTTGGCAGAGGTTCTTATGTTTTACATTTCTGTGACATATTCACTTCCCTTTATCTCGACATTTAACAATTATATAGTTCCATCTATACTGCTAAAATGATGGCTATGTATTCTTGCTATTGTTTGACATAATACATATATGTGTGTATGTAACACTGCACAACAACACTAAAAATTTAATTAAAAAAAAACACACAGGTAAAAATTACAGAACCACCCCCATAATTTATTCAGTCATGAGTTGCACACAGCAGAAAAAAATGCTTTTTACATCTTTTAAAAGTTAAAGCAGTTTGAACGCAAAAAATACAAAGATGTGTTCACAGTTTCACAAACCTCCAGGGGAAATTTATGTTTTTTAATTCCTAGTTAAAAATAGCCTACTTTACTTTTATTGACTACCTCAATCAATCCTAAATGAGCAATTAAACGTAGAACATGCCGAATTCTAAAATTGTTCCACATTGCAATTGTATTTTAGCAATCCTATTTTATGACCTGTAACTATCAAAAATCTCTAGCTTCATTTGATAGTAAAATGATGTTTGCCAAGGTCGTATCTGAGCATATTTCCCTTGCCATAAAAAAAATGGTTAGATGAGGAGTCAAGTGTGGAACACTTTATAATAAGCACATCAGTGCCCAGGGCTTTATTTCCTTTCAAAGAAGAAATAGCCTCTTCCAGAGTGATCTCTGCTCCCAATGTCTCCTCCATAGAAGCTGATATGTCAGGAAGGGTGAGTCATCCAAAGAAAGTTTCTAAAGTGGCTGATTTCCAGTAGAGTGTTCAGCAGGAGAATCATTGTACAGGGTTTGGTAAAAATCCCAGAAGGCTGTATGCATTACCCACATGTCACCACCCCACCCAAGGGTTAAGGATTAACATTATAGGCTTAGCACAGGTCAAACGCGAAGAGTTCTCCCCCAAATGGTGTCCATCCAATGCTTTTTTTCTCTTCTCCTATGGGTTTTATTCAATTTATAGAAAATCTAAATCATTGTGTTTTTTAAATGATCTGGAAGTGTACACCCTGGAAAGATTCCTGTCCTGTAGATAAATGGGAGACGTCTTAGGCAGGTGAATCTCCTGAATGAAGGCAATATCTGCCTTCATCTTCTTCAACTCCCTAGATAAAAGATGGGTTTTTTTAAGGATTATTAAGGCATTTGACATTCAATTAAATAATTATAAGAGCCATTAGCCTGTAGAGAAAATTAAGTTTTTGGAGACCTCAATGAAGGAAGATGAGGAACATACTAAAGCATAAGTGTCTAACACCTCCACGGCATTTATCACCACAGCAGGAGGAAAGTGGGTAAAGGATAAAAAATATGTAATAAAAAGTACAAAAACTCAAGTATATATAGAGAAAAATTAATGGTCTCACCCACCATCATGTCAACCTCCCAGCTGATAAATATAAGCCTTATATTTATCAGCTGGGAGGTTGACATGATGGTGGGTGAGACCATTAATTTTTCTCTATATATACTTGAGTTTTTGTACTTTTTATTACATATTTTTTACCCTTTACCCACTTTCCTTCTGCTGTGGTGATAAATGCCGTGGAGGTGTTAGACACAAGATGGAGGTGTTCCTCTACTAATATTCAGTATAGTAAATGAAACACTGAACCAATTAAACTGCTAAATGACACCAGAGCAGGTTATGGTGACCTTCATACAGAACACTTGAACACTACACCCGATAAAGGAGAGTTACCATCGCATATAGCATATCATTAATTTGCTGTTCATAGAAATCAACAAATAGTAGTTGTCTCACTCAGGCAAAGCTATCAACTGTTAAGTTGGGGTTGTAAACGGTAAAGTCACTATGAAGAGGAGACTTGGCATCCACAGCATCTCCTCTGACCTTTTGCTGCAAGGTAGTAGCAGTCTGCATACTGCCTTCTAAAAATAAAGCATCTTCATGCCTTTAATGGGGAGTTCTTAGGAGTACTATACATTGGAAGATTATCCATCCGGATTCTAGATGTTTCGGAGTTAACTTTGCATAAAAGGTGTACATGAAAGGTAAGTTTGCCACACTTATTTATCCAGTCCTCCCTATCTCTATTCTTGATCCCAATAAATCAGCACCTTGGAGGGCAGAGGAATGATGAGGTGTGTAAGGTAGCACAGTTCATCCTCCAATCACTCCCTCGATATGACAATAGAACCATTACCCCTCTCAATTTTTAAACTTATTGTTTCCTCTATTAGCATTTTGCTTGTTTCTTTTTTTCTTTTTCTTTTTTGTTACTTTTCCATTTTCCTTTTTTTGTTTTGTTTTTTTAGTTTTCCAAATATTTTTCCCTTTTTTTTTTGCTTTGTAATTTTTAGTCTTTTTAGTAGTGATTCGATAGTTTGTTATAATGCTCTTTACACAGACAGTCATTAGATTAGTACGCACCATCACTCTTTATTGCCAATAAAGATAACCTCATAACCGTAATGGTTTTTCTGAGCCCAATCAATTTGACACCTATGAAACAGAAGAAGTTTGGGCCCAGTTGGGCTAAATCAAATAAAAAAACTATGTAATCAATAACTTGATAAGCATCAAAAGAAATTAGAAGAGGTTAAAAACTACATGAAAAATAATAGTTAGGTCTCTAGCAATATTGGCTGTTTTATCTTGATCTCTAAATACCTTGCAATCCTCAGGTACTTTGTCTCTCTCCCAAGAGTCCAGAGTAAGTAAAGACATAAGAATCCACATGCCCTCAGGTAGGGTGAGAAGGTGCAACCATCTTCCCCGACATGATTCAATC